CTCCATCATCCCCTTTGTTTTTGTGTTCCTAAGTTGAGATTATTGAAGAATCTAAGCCTCTCATCATATTCTAGAGAATTTGAAGTTGTTCTTCAAGGATCTTCGAAGATCTTCAAATTTTCCAACTCCTTTCTTGAACCCTCTCTTACATACTTATTTTTTATTTTTTCAATTTTTTTATGAATTTTTTTTTAAAATGTATTTTTTAGATTCATCTCAACAAGATGGACCAAGAAAGTAAAAAATTTTGACATAATTTTTTAAAAAAAGTCACACCATTTTGTTTATAAACTTTGTTATCTTTTTTATTTAAATAAGTACATGAGCATGACTTTGTTTTAGACCTATTATTTCAAACTGTAATGCTACATATCAAGATATAAAAACTCAGAAATTGCTCAAAATTTTATATCAATGATTCAAATTCATTTCATATATGATTTCGCACTTTATCAATTTCCACCACATAATATCCATTTCTAGATAAATTTAGAATCTCAAATTCTGGGTGTAACGCTTCGTACTCCTTGGACTATTAGGATTTCTTTTGGACTCTCTTATTATTGTACTTGAAGCCTCTTTGATTGATTTTAGAGTATTGATTGGGGTGATATCACAATGGTAAGGTAGGATTGAACCAAAAACATTGATTTGGATAATTGTCTCATGAGCGGTCTTCACTCTTTTACCTTTTTCTCTCTCCACACTTTAAATTTGGATGTGTGGCTAGAACCATTGGAAATTTTGTTTTCGGGGCATCGATTTGCACACAAGAACGACTTAAAACAGAGTCTGAACGAGGGAGTTATGCCCGCTTAAAATTTGAGTACCTATGTTGGAAGCAAGTCCGCTCGAGCAAACTTTTGACCTCTCAAGTAGTCTGTTCGAAGTCAGACAGTTTAAAATCACTTTTTGGCATAAACTTTTCATTCTTTCTTCCTCTCTTCGCTCCCTCTCATCCATACTTGAAACCCTAGACCTCCAAATCTTGATTTCATCTATTTTTCACCAAGAATCCACCGTAGATCTTGCATTAAAGGTGAAGAACAATTGAAGATCAACATTTTCACCAATTGGATTTTGGATTTTTTCGAAAGAATCTTCTTGATCTAGCTTCTCTACTCTTATCTTTGAGGTAGGATTAACAACAAAAGTAACATATGTTGATGAAAATTAGTGAAGAAAGTAAATTTCGTCACTAAATAAGAATAATCTGTGAGGAATTAGAAATTTTGTCACATATAATCAAAAAAAATAAAAATAATAGGTGAGGAAATTTATTTTTGTCAATGAATACTTCATTTTATATGAGGAAAAATTAAGTTTCGTCACCAAAGATTTTCTCGCTAAATTTTTTGGGTGTCGCCAAAATTTTTAGACTTTTGGTGAGGAAAAAATTTGTCACCAATTATAAAATTATTAGTGAGGAATATATATTCATCACCAATAATTTTAAATATTTTGAGATCATTTGATGAGGAATATATTTTCGTTTGTAATAATTTTTAATATTTTGAGACTTTTTTGTTGAAGAAATATTATTTTGTCACAAATTTTGAACAGCGTCGCCCTTTCTCCTCCTTCAACACTGTCACCGACGTCACATTTTCGAGCAAGCGTCAGCGCTACCGACTGTGCTTTGAGTACTCAATCAGCCTCCATTGTTTTGTATGGAGTTCTCTCTCTCTCTCTTTCAATCTTTGTATTTGTTTTCCATTACTCCTCTTTCTTAATCTTTGTGTTTGTTGTCCATTACTCCTTTTTCGCACTTACCAGCACCTCCATTACCATTTTCTTGGCACTAGCAGTTTGCCTATCTCCCAAAACCCAATTTCAGGTATGGGTCCTCTCTCTCTCTCTCTCTCTCCATTTCTTTATTTTTCTATCTTTGTTTTTCTTAATTTTCAAAACTAATTTTGTTGTTATCCTTAATTTCCAAAACCCTAACAATCTTAAATTAATAGTTTGTATGTAATTATGACATTATTTGTAGTTGAGCATTGCGCAGGGGATATGGGTTTTGGCTGTCTTTGCATAGCACTTTTTGTTGCATCCAGAATAGTTTTGGTGAATTATATGACTAGGTGCTGTAACTTCAAGCTCTTCAATTTGTAAACAAATGAAATTTTTTGGGGATGTTTTTGATTTTCTTCTTTTTCTTCTATGACATCCAAAAATTGGGGAAAAATAAATTGGGAAACAATCAAAAACATGTCAATAAATTTGTTTATTTAGAAAACTAGTAGCAATTTTACTTTGATTATTTGAATTATAGCAACTACAAAAAAGAAAAAAGAAAAGGAATTGGTTGTTAGAATTTTGTGAGCTTCTTTCACAATTTTTTGGATATACATCTTGTCATGGTAACCTCAATATTTTCTTCATTTATAATTGGTTTTCCAACCTATTTTTGTAATTGTACTCAAACATTAAGGAACTAGAGGCAATCTCAAACTCATAGTAAGACGTTTTTATAGGCTGGAAACCTTTTGCATTCTACCAAGCATCATGGGAAACAATTGGAGTGTTGGTTGATTTTTAACCAAAAGTTAATTCCACATCAAGTGCAACCTGTGTTATATGTCCACTTCTACTTCCCCTAGTGTACCCATGTCTATTGGAGTAAAGGTGTGGGATATGTTTAACACCTGTATTCAATTTAGATATTTAGTTCTTCTAATTTTATATGATTTTTGAAGAAGAATATGCAAATAATATTGAACAACATCCCAATGGGCTAATAAGTAGGATGCCAAATTTGCCTCCCTCAGAATTTTTTAGTTCTTTAAAATGATATTTTTGGATAAATTACACAACTCTAGTATATAGAGTAGATGGTACTGCAATTAGGTTGCTTTTCATGGTTTTCAGTAGTCACTGGAAGGAAATGGTCATGTTGTATAAAATAATTGTTAAAATTGCAGCTATTGGAACCTAATTTAGTTAAATGGTGGCTGTAGGGCATTGAATGGATTATTATAGTATTTCGTTAAGGGGAAATCGAATTGTTAGCTCATCCCTAGTTGCATGAAGTGGGGCGGGGAGCAAGGATGCCAAGGCACAGAAAAAAGTTTAAAATTGGGAATGCTTAGATGAGCATTTATATATATATATATATATATATATATATAAGTTTATTTCCTATTGAGTGTCATTGCTCACTCCCGTTTTATGGGCTAGATATTCCCAAATTCCAGGTGATCAAGATGTGACTCGTTCATTGAGAAGTATGTGGAGTTTTAGATGGAGTATTGAAACTCTTTTGATGTTTTATGTTTCAACTACGAGCTTATCTGCCGAGATAGAATTTTTTTTTTCTTTGTGATCAAGGGCCTTAACTTTGAAATGTGTAAGCCTCTAGGGCGATTTGATATATATATATATATAGTTTCTTATACTGTAATTTGTTGTAATGTATGAGATGACTGATTTGCGAGAAATAGATGGGTTTTTTATTTATAATTTGTTATCTTTATTTACCTAGAATTTATTAAGGTTATAGAATTGAATTATAATAATGGATTGGTAACTAATAAAATTATGTCAATTTTTAAAGTGTTACAGAAATCATTGCAAATGGATGAATTTTAAGTTGAAATTTTTACAATAGCTTAATTGCATCTTGAGTCTCATATCATAATTTTCTCATAATTTTTGGGAGTTAAAATCAATATAAACTGATACGTTCAAATCTGTCCAAAAACTAGTGTAAAACAGTAACTTCAGAAGTGTCGTTCTCTTTGGGTATAAATCTGAGAATTATCAAATCAGCATCATTAGAACCGTTTCCAAGTCTAATTTCTTACATTTTTTGGCCTTGCATCGATTGCTCATGAATAGTAAGAGAACCGTCAATTTCTTTAAAGTGCTATAGAAAGCGACCCTTGTGGACATAATTAATTGTAAATAATTCTATTGATAAGTAAATCAAGTAAAACCAATTGGGTTTGAATACTTAACACATAGTAGGTGATATCTGGAGGGTTTCAAAAAATTTTGAAAGGTGTACTGAGTTTTTAATTTTCAAAGCTAACGAATAGATGGGATAACACTTTTAAAATTCTATTTTATCTCAAAGTCACATTTAATTAAGTTTCGACCTAAACCTATATCTTGCATAATTTGAGACCTTGAAGAACATGAACTTAAGTATTGTTTAAGAGTAACGGTGAGTTGGTTGAGCCATGTTAGTGCACTCTAGCATGGGGTTAGTTTATTATGCCTTTTCGTATTTTTGAATTAATAGTGACGTGTAGTTTTCATACTTTATTTAGGGTACAAGTTGGACTTTCGTACTCTACTAAAGGATTATATTGTTCCATTTTCAAGTGAGTAGTTGCATGCTAAATATTTTTATAAATGTTCCCTTACCCGAAACCATTGTAAAATTAAATTGTTATTTCAGTACTAAATTGTTTTGATAAAATTATTATATTATCAATGGAATTAAATTATTTATGAAACATGTGTAAACTTGGCATATAATAAAATGTTTGAAATGGTCTCATGTTTGTAATAGTGAACTATTATGTTTTGCAGAACTGAATTGTATTGATTATTGGGACCATATTTACACCAAAGTCTAGGGAATTTATTCCACTGTGTGTGGTGACTTTGGCCACTAGGGAACAGTCTTGGGGTTTATAGAGCATATGTTATTAAATTTTTAGAACTAGCCAAGACATTATTTTGCTGCTACTGAGGTGTATATTTGCTACTGCCAATAATGGAGTGTGTTTAGTTGTTGTTGTTGATAAATGAAATGTATGCATGGTGTGGTTCCAATTACTCCGAAGGAGCTATCTGTGAAGGTGCTCAAGCCAAGGTCGGGATATGTTAAAGGACTTGAGTTGAGGCGTTCCTTCTCTGTTAGGACTACCAGTGCTTCAACTGACAGTGACTATGTGAGGTGTCTAGAAATGGAAATACAAGAGCAAAAGGAGGAAATTCAAGCACAAAATAAAGAGATAGGGAAGATGAATGGGTTGATTGATGAGAATTTTGAGATGACGTCAAGCATCATGGAGTTTCTTAAAAAACAGGTTTCAAAGGACAATTTAGGGAAGGGGGCATCCTATGAACTCGTAGATCGCCTTTTTGGTAAGTCTATCTTGTTTTATCTTTTTCATTTTTCTCATGTTGGTTAGTATATATTGGTTAAAGCACAACAGTTTAAGAAAGTTACACTTTCAGACTCAATTACGTTACATTTTACCAATAAGGAACCTATGTGCCAATCCCTCTTGCATTAACACCACAACCATTTATTTTAATCTTTTAATAGTTTTCCTTTTCCATTTAGAAGTTTATTTAGTTATTAACATTAGTTGTGTGAAGTATTTTGCATTGAACACATATGTTTGTGTAATTGGGATCTCCACCACAATTATTTATATACTATTAGAATGTAATCATATGATGTTCTTTGGTAGATTATTTTATTTTTACGATTTGTTTTTCTTTGTGGTTATTTAAGGAGGTATGAGAAATAATTATTTTGTGAACAAGTAATTTCATTTTTGAGATTGGTTTTAAAAAATATGGTTTTCATTTGGGATGTGCTGGCCCGAAATGCAATATTAAAGCGAAGGACTTAGTAATTCTATGTTTGTCATGCTGTAGAAAATTGAAGATCATGATTCAAACTTAGTCTTAGGAAATTAAGCTTTTAAGTATGTCAATTTAGTTAGGAACTTGAATGGATTTGGGTTTATAGAGCATATGTTATTAAATTTTCAAAACTAGCCAAGACATGTTATTTTGCTGCTACTGAGGTGTATATTTGCTACTGCCAATTGTAGACGTCCCCGAATGTCCCGGGAGGATGAGTCCCGTTCTGTTCGTATTGGGCTCACTACAGTTCAGACTCTCGAATTGTCACGGTTCTTAATCTGAACCAAAGAGTCTAAATCCGGCAAATCGTTTTGAGAAAAACAGATTTTTAGAAAAGAAGTGCCAAACATGGACTGCTTTGCCAGATACAGAGTCGCCACCTAAATATTTTTTTATGGGGGGATTTAGGAAACCCTGACTCGGTGCCAAAGGCCACGTGTCCGTCATCACCAAAGTTGCCTCGGCTCGGGAACTTGGGTACGATTGGGGAAGGTCAGCTATGAGCACCCCCTCTCGCCCGATCCGAAGATCGGCCTCTACTAACCGTGATTAGCCTAGAATTACTATGTGATACGCACAGCAAAACAAGTATAGACTAGATTGCCTAATTTGGAACGAAGCATTGCGTATCCGTTTGTTTGAAAAACAGTTTGAAATTTGCTACTCGCAAGTAGGCTAAAGCACGGATTTCAATGAGTTGTTCCAACTCAAACAATCCAACCTTCACCCACAGGCATTCAAGCAGTTGAATCACATAAACAAGTAGCCTCATGGTAAGCATGCTGTCATGGCAACACTCACATGCATGCAAGGATGCTAAAACATAAATGCTTACCTAGTACTCCAAGCCAAAACAGAAACTAGTTAGTAATCATATGCATGATCATAGTTCATGTTAAGATGGCTAATGCAACACATGAAAGATGCAGCTACAATAGGCTCGGCTAATCTATGGATGGCATATGATGATGCTACAACTAACACGTATTCAACTTGGAATTGAAATACAATGCAGTTAGTATGATGCGCTGAGCCCGGTGCATGCAAGACAAATGTATGGATGCACGCATGCATAGCATAAGGTATGCTAATTGAAACATGCCCTAGACTGACCATCGAAAGCTAGTAAATAAAAGGGAAGAAAGACGTGGGGTTGGAAAACATGCACACACGCACCCACACTTATAACAAATTCGCCCTCGCTCACAGGGACCAAAAGAATAATACAAACCGAATAAGTAATTAACTACTCTAGCTAATTAAATATTACAAAGCCTTAATTAATTAAACAAATTAACTAAGCTACTAAAGCAGTAAAATAGCCTCGGGAAGAGGGATGAATGCATGCTCGGATTGGCTTCACTCGAAAATCCATTGCCATGACACATGTTGCCTCTGTTTTCACTGTTTGGCACCTCTGAAGACTACACAAGTCCCAAGGTATGCTCTCTACACACTGTGGAGTGCCACCGGCCAAGGTAAATGATCACCGGCTAATGGGATGTGGTCATCGGCCACTGGTGTGACTCTTGGCCAGCGACACATGGTCGGTCAGCACTGTATATAGTCGACCGGCCAATTCTTCCTCCAGAACCTGTTTTGACAGCAGCAGAGGGCAAAACAAGGCATGTCAATGCATTTCAAGCAAATGTGTGCACCACCACACCCCTTATCGTGTTTATGATTCAAAGTGGCATGGTATTCGATTCTCGGACCACCAATTACGCATTTCAATGCGTGATGGCCCAAAGAGTCAAAGTGTGCAATTTTAATGTCAAATATAATGCACACAAACACACAATGAACTCAACCTCTATCATACTCAATTCAAGAGGCAAAGCATGCATGCCAATGTAATGCAACCTAGGCATGTGAGCTAAGTGTGCAACATGATCATGCAAACAACAAAACCATGTGCAATAGGCACATGAACTAAACAAGTAAGCATGCAAGGCATAAAACATCAATGTTAATGACACACATGCAACAACATGAAAGGCATAACACATGTAAATATGCAAAGCGACTTAACACAAGAAGCATGCCAAATGCAATGACACTTAAACATCAACAACACACAAGGTGAGCATGCAACAACATGCAAAGGGGTGAACTTAAACTAGTTTAGGCAGCTCCCAAACAAGCCTAAAACAGTGGCCAATGTTATGGAAATGAGGGCTTACACACACACACATGTGCATGTTGATGTGCCAACACTTAAGCATCAAACAAGCAATCTTTAAGCACACTTAAAGGAGCCTAAACATGGACAATTAGCATGTAATGTAAACTCTGGAAATCATGTTAATAATGGTGCCTAACCAATTTAAACAAGATAAACATGGCATGCAATTGGTCCATGTACTTGAGGCAAGCCAAGGAGACTTAAACCATGGCTAAGTCATCCTAGCCTCTCAAGGCCAAGAGGACTTAAAACAGGTTCAAGGCAGACCTAGACAATGCTAAGGGAACACCTAGATGGCATCTAAGTGGCTTAAACATGCAAGCATACAAAGAAGCACATTCATGGAGCATGAGGCAACAACCTTTTAAAGCAACAAAGGAGTATCAAATGCAAGTATGCAAGCATGTTATAAGGACTGAAATAACATGGTAAGTGGTTCCAAACCACTGAAATAATGCAAGTAATGCATGCTCATGGTTCATGCACTTAAGGCTCACAAGCTAAGAATGCAAAGAGGCTATGCAATGCATATCATGGTCGACCAAAACAACCAAAAACAGAACTTTAGCATGCTGAAACAAGCACAAAAACTTTACAAAGCTTGGCCAAAAACATGCTAGAACAAGGGTCAAAAACCTAAAGTATATTAAGGCTAAAACATGGCATTACAAGGCATGTATGCTAAACAAGCATGGTGTACCTAAACCAACAAAAAACAGAGCTATAATATGACATAATAAGCACAAAAATCAGTTAAGGCATGATCAACATGGACCTAAACTAGATGCTCCCCCAAGAGGCTAAAATGGCCCTTTTCAAGGACAACAAGGAGAGGGGGTGGCCCTCTCCTTCTTAGGACCTCAAGGCACCATCTTCACCACTGAAATCCCTCAAGATTTTAGTGGTGAGGCGCCCAAACACAATGGTCCCGGAGCTCACAAAAAATGCACAAAAATGGAGCCTAACAAGGCTTAAGAGGGGTCAAACAACCTCAAAGCTCAAAGCACTCTTAAACAACTATTTAGAGTAGGAAAAACCAAGAATTTTATATGTTATACACCACGTCTAAAAACAGTTGCAAGGTAGTCAAAAAAGCTATGCAAAAATGGGATAAAAAAAGGCAAGAATGTTACCCTTGAAGACCCCCTTCACAAATGGTGGACCAGCTGCTTCTTTGGCTCAAACCAGCTCCAAAACTTCAAGAACAGCCTCTTAGTACCTCAGTAGCTAAAGGAAGGTGTAATGGTGGGTGTTTGTGCACAAAAGTAAGACAAAACACACACAAAACACAAGAGAGAGGGAGATATAGATACATGATAGATATACAACTCAAACCCTAAAACCAGAGCCCTCTGAAAAATGTTGTCTAACCTAAAAGAGGGAGAAGAGACCTCCTCTTATAGACAATCCAATCTTGTAAAGCTTCCAAGGCAAGCTAACAAGAGGGAGATCCCTCCATACACGTGTATGGAGGGGAGCAAAGTGTATGCCAGCTAGCACAGCCGGCATAAAAATATCTGCAAAAGCAGATGCATAGTAGCCGGCCAGCCAAAAATGTAATTTGACCACAATAGATGTCCGTTCGACCATCTAGAGTGCCGGCCAACCAAACATTTGGCCGATGGAAACAAAACACAGCCGGTGGCCTCAAGCCACAGCCGGTGGAGTGTGGGGATGGCCAATAAGCCATTCCCTGTCCTCCAAAGCAAAAACACAAGTGTTTGGTGCAAAACCAAACACAAAACAGTCGAGTCGATAGGTCATGAGGCAAGGCGCGTAGCCGAGACCTCCGGGATCTCAAGACGAACACAAACAAGGATGATCACCGAGTGTTCAAACGGTGACGCCCAAGTCTTGAGGACGGTAAAAAATGGGGTGTCTACAGTTGCCCCTCTTTGACAGAACTCGAAAGTCATAAGAATGATAGGAGTGAGTGTCAAAGCCCAGAGACGACCTATTTTTGACAAGGCCGAAGACTTAGACAAAGCATACAAGCTACCGATAAATAAATGGTTGTGCCCGTAGGCTACCTACGTATGCCTTTGTAAGGAATCAAACCAGCGTAGTTCAGGGGCAGGATGCAAATGATATGCAAGAAGACTTTGAGAAATGGCCTTATACGCTACGCGAAGCCGGTTTGAAAATTGGACTTTATACGCTACGCAAAGCCTGTTTGAAAATTGGACTTATATGCTATGCGAAGCCGGTTTGAAAATTGGACTTATACGCTACACGAAGCTGGTTTGTAATTGGACTTATATGTTGGCGCGAAGTCAGTTTGAAAATTGGACTCATATGCTTT